GGCCCTACCACTTCGTGGCTGAGTTGCTGTCATTCCCAATCGCTTCCACTTTGTTATAATACCACTAACAGCTGACTGTGGAATATTTAGTAGCGGGAAATTTCACGACTGGGCTTATTGCACTGGTGGCATCCTATCACGGTACCATGCTGGAGTTCACTGAGCTCCTGAGAGCGACCCATTCTTTCACAAATGTTTGTAGAAGTGGTCTGCATGCCTAGGTGTTGATTACGTATATGCACCTGTAACCATGGAAGTGGTTGGAACACCTGAATTCAGTGATTTGAATGGGTGAGTGAATACTTTTGGCAATATAGTGTATGTCAAAATGTCATTGCACTATATGGGTAGAACAAGTTTTAATGGGGGCCCAGCAGCTCATTTTTTCTCCAGTTAATTTCATTATAATTCAAAAACTAGGTTTTGGCTGTTTGGTGAAGCATTTTTCAGATGATGTTCATTTATTTGTCATTTTATAGTGTAATTAAATAATAAAAAAGAATTAAGAAAAATAATCAAATAAAATTAAGCCAACTCTCTTGTAACTATGTAATACATTGTGTCTGGCCATCATACTATTATCAGTTACTGTGCCTGAAGGAAAATTTATCATGTGCTTGCTTTGCTGCACAACAGCGTGTGTGTGTGTGTGTGTGTGTGTGTGTGTGTGTGTGTTCTATGTTCTTGGTCAGGTACCTCAATGGCCTTTGAAAACAAGCAAAATATGGCAGAAATCAGTCTCATCTGTGAGGAGAATCTGCTTGATACCATCTTCCATGCTTGTGACACCCAACGTCGAGGTACACACACAGAATTATTCAGTCATTAATGCTTGGTTCATACGTTAGAGTCCTGCAGCAAGCTGAATACAGCAGCCCATTGATGAATTTTAACTTCATATTATGACAGGGTTTTTTCTGTGCAGAAGGCAGAAGTGATTTGTAACCTGATTTCCACAGGTTCCAAAATTCACAGTCAGTGTTAGCTGTGTCTTCCTCTTGTCCCTGCTGGGGCACAAGGTTCTTCAAGTTTTTTCATCTGCTATGCAGATGCTATGTGTTCTCCCAACATTTTTAGTACTTTTCTATAGTGAATGATCTTATACAGCAGTGCTTTGGGATATGGGACAAGATGTTAGCAGGAAGTTGTCATTTTATCTTTTGGCTGATTTTCAGGATTTCTTTTCACCATTTTTGAAGAACAAGATGATTTTTGTTTTTTTTCCCCCTCACCTCTGGCTTTGGTCACAATGTAGGTTGCAGTCTCTTTTGTTATTTGTGCTATTCATATAACTAGGTGGAGACTGAAGAGTGAAGTCAACATTGAAAAACCAAGAAAGTCAACTGTGATTCTTACTGTCACTATGGTTACTGCTTTTGCTGCCAACACCTATAACCCACATCTGAAGTAATGTCTCAAAATTGTCTTGGGGTGTTAGTGTTGAAATGAAAACTTTTTTTTTTTCAAAAGTAGAAGTAGAAAAGAAGACTGGGTTGAACATCACAGTTCATGTGTGTAAGGGGTAAAAGTATCTAGACATGATTTCTTTTGAAATGTCCCCATGATTCTCACCTTCCAGGTAAAGTGTACGTGTCTCACATTGTGGACTATCTGCGACATACCACAAGTCGCAGTTCAGAAGACAGTGGATTGGAGGAGCTTTGCAACATGCTTGATCCAGAACGCAAAGATGTCTCAATTGATTTAGACACATACCATGCTGTCATGAGGGAATGGATTGATGACTGCCGCAACAATGGGTAATGAATATCAGATGTGGGTTTTACTCCAATATATAGATTTTATCTAGCAGTGCCATGGTTTTTAAGGTTGAGAGTCCAGTTTTTTAAAAATATTATGAAATTACATTTTTGAGAGAAAAATATTTTATTACGTGATTTCAAAATAAGACTATGACATTAAAGGTGGGTGTCATGGACATGAACAGCCTACGACATGGGCAGGTTTTTGTCAGCTAAAGTGGCCATAAGATAGATACTGAATCCAGGTTTTGTAGCCAGTGCCAGTGGGCAGGTCTAT